GTCAACAGTAAATTAACTTGCCCATAAGAGTACAATAATTAGCAGTTAGTAGCTTATTAAAAGGATGGCAAAGGCCAAGCTGCCATCTGGGATCTCCAGTTTCTTGTGATTGTTATTATGTCAAGATGTGCAACTTGCATTAGCTTTCATGTCACTGTGCTTGCCCTTACTTTACATGTAAATTTTAATGAAAGATACAGCACTTTAAAAATCAGACGTCCATCAACAGCGCTATTAGTCTAGCTTTTATGAAACATATGGCCTGTTTTGCTACCTCTGCATCTCTACACACCACTGAATGCCTCAAACTAAAAAAGAAGGAAAGAATAAAAAGCCTTTCAATGGTATCAATTAAATACTCTCTCTGGGCAGAGTGAAACCTGAGCCCCATCAAACCCCGAAGACTAGGATACAGCATAGGAGGACAATATTTTAGCTCCTGTTTACACACAACACAACTGCAATGCTTTTAACTCTCACAGGAATCATTCTTCTTAATAAAAAGGAAAGCCAATCAAGAATCAGCCGTTTATTCACACATCGGAAAGACACAGTTTTAAAAAAGGCAGAGAGAGCACTGAAGAAAAATAAATTACCTATACGCTACAAAATACTTAACAAATTATTAAATGCTTTATGCATACGCATGATTTATAAATATACAGGCTAGTACACATAAGCAAAAATAATTTACCAGAAATGTCCTATTTAATTTCTCATTTGTCTTCATAAATATGTTATGGTGAGGTGTAAAAAGAAGGATGTTTATAAGACATCTGTTCTTTTCTGTTAGTCAATATTCAACAATTCGGTGATTTTTTTCCACCAAAGTACTGAAAACTTCACCAGCTCTGGATCATAAAGAACTGGGATGAATGTCTTGCAAAAACATCCCCCAACACCTTACATTTGAAATTCATCAACTATCAAGCCTCTCTAATTAGACCTATAAGAATTAGATTAAAATACTTGTTTCTTCCCTAACTAAAATATGAAACCAGCAGCAAAGGTTTGCTTACAAAAGATGATTAATGCAGAATGAAGTCTACATTCAAGAGGCCTTGGTTCTATCACAGAGGTTTTATGGACTGGGTATTTGCTAACCATAAAATAAATTTCCTTTAAAACAAAAAATCATTAAAAGGGAAGTTAGAACCAAATATCATCATCCTTATAATAAGGTAATGTAATGTAAGCTGTATAATAATAATAATGTAATAATTTTCACTTTCAAAAGGAAAACAAAACCAAAATCACACATATTTTAAAAGTATTAAATAAAGGACTTTAAGTGTGGAAACCTAAAAAACGGAACATTCACATTTAAAATCCAAATATCATTCAGATATTTTATAGGACAAATCAAGAGCTTCAGAACCACAGCCAAGGCTGGCAAGATCAATGCAGTGGTGGTTTTTCTCCTCTTATAATTAGATATTTATAGAGCACAAATGATTTAATTTGTTACTGATGTTTTGCTTCCACATTTGCATAAACCCTTGGCCACTCAGACGGACTTATTCACATGGCTCTGAAATCCTAATGGTGTTACTGGCAATGAAGAACTGGAAATTATTTTCCAGATCAGTAAAGCCCAGTCATTTCCTTCTATCAGAGTCCGCAAATGCTATTTCTTTTTTTCTGTGCCATTACCTTCTGGTCACAGAATCACAGAATCACAATATCTTTTTGGTCAATATCATTGAACAATTTGAAGAAATAACAACCTCACTCTGCTCACTGAGAGCAATGCTAATCATCACTAAACTTGAAAGACTTACCTGGGTTAAGAGTAGTTTGGGACAAGAGAGAGAATCTGATTTTGCAATGCTGGGAACTACTCAGGAATTCTGCCCGTAGCATTTGTTCTACCTAATATGCATTAAAAAATGTCCCACCCCTGAAACAGGTGAGTATTCTTTCATCTCTCCCCGAAAACAGAGAAGAAAACTGCTTCATGCAGGAAATGAGTGTGCAGCTGCTCAGTTTGTCCTGCCGAGACCAGGTCAGGGTAGAGGGAAGGAGCAGGGCACCTGGCGGAGGGCTGCCGCCGGCACGGGTGCATCCCAGGGCTCTGCGCACACCAGCAAACCAGCTGCACCTCGCTGCCACTCTGGCTGTCAGAGGGGATGTCTGGACTTCTCAGTTCTCTAGGACAATCTTGGCTCACTGAATTCAATGGCAATTCTGCTATTGCCTTCACGCAGACATAGGATTTTGTTGACCTGGTGAAATTTATTCCCGAGAAAATTCAACTGAAAAGAGCAGGATCCCATCAGAATTAAGGCCAATTTGCTTGGAGGCACGAACCTCAGTATAAGTCAGATCCAAACCAAGAGCGACAATCAAACAAAAAACCCTACAAGAATAAGAGAATGGTGAAGGGTAGCGAAAAGGCAAATTATCATTTCCCTAACCAAAGGCTGTCAAGAGAACAAATGACATAGAAGAGCACAACTACACACTAACTCCAGTTCTACAGCAAATTAGAGTTGGATATTTATGATCTACTTTGGTATCATTTATTTCTGGGGGAGTGTTAGGGAAATAAACTCAGTATAATTGTTCCTTAATTGTCAATTCCTCTCCAGAAGAGAAGCTGCTTTCTCCAGTTCATGCCAAACAAAATAAAAATTCTTCCTGATGATGATACATTTACTTCATCTCTGTGACCAGTTTCATATACCTAGTACAAGCACAAGCAGTGCATATTTACTCAGCTCCGGCAGAAATACAAGCGGTGCACAGATGCCTTCCTTTATTTTGACTGCTGCAGCCATTATCAAAAAATACCTATACTTCATCTTCTTCAGCTTTCCAGGAACTTAACAAAAAACAAATTTCTGCTGAACTTTCAGAAGAGTAGGTGCAGAATACTGCTATTTACTACAGTGGAAGCAATTAATGCAAGACGTGTTCCAAATGGTGCATGCAAGGTCACAGACTGATACATCTTGTGAAGAGGTTTTATACAATCAAAAACATCATATCCTCTGGCTACATACATGGCATGAGATAGAGTGGCTGCCAGTTTTCACTAAAAACTATGAGAATGTCAAAAATTAAGAACTTTCCAGCTACAGTCACTAGGGCATCCTGTACCACCTTCTCTGTGAGCTGAAGGCCATATCTGGGTTCAAAATTACACAGCTTGAGCCCTCTGAAAGTAATGCCATTTTTGATATAGAATGATGGTGCTCTGATAAGGTAACTTGCTAGAACTAGAGGTAAAAATCACACGTTGCTAGGAACCGAAACAATATTTTCACTCAGTGGCCCAATAAATTAAGTTTCAGTGCGTACAAATTAATTGTGGACTACGTATTACAATTCTCATTCCTAGAGGCTCAAGTGGGAGTTTTACTTCAGAAAAGACTTTCAGTTTAGTCCTGTACTGCCTTGCCTACAGTGCAAATGCTGCCTGAGAAAAGAAGAAGCAGCATTAGCTAACCTCATGCTGTACAAGACTTTCCCTGAGCTGTACAGATCCTTAAATCACACTAAGGTCTACACCAGCTAACTCAATTATTGGCAGCTGTGTTGAGGCCCAGTAACATAGCGTATGGTGTGCCTAGAGCTTTAGGTTTGCACATTTTTATGGTGCATATATGTGATTATGATGTTCACCTCTTGCTCAGAAGATGACTTTGAATACAGCTTATGCACTATCCTCCTCCCCACAACCTTGGATAGAATAGAAAAATCATAAAATGAATTAGTGGAATATTTTTTCAACCTGAAAACAGAACAAATCCTATTAATTACCTGACATACCCTATCATAGAGAATCCAATAATATAAACTTGTTAGAAGAAGGCAGTGCATCAGGAATAGGAATCATACACAGAGGAAGTGCTGAAACACCATTGCGTTCCCTAGAATTCAGGTATTATGAGGGGAGCGATAACTGGGCAGAGACTATTTGTGCCTCAAAGGAAAGCTGTTATGAATAAATCCTCTGAGCTCTCATGTCCTCCTAGATTTGTAGTCTAGACTTGTAGTCCTAGATCTGTAGCCATTTCTTCTTCCAATGTCTTATCAGCATGGAAACACCCAACATCATCCAGTGGGTTCAAATCATGCTGATCAAGAGATCAGATTCTTCAGCAGTGTATTTGTTGAAAATGAGTAAGCCCCAGCAAAATAAAACCTTTTAATCTCTCTGACTCATTGGAAAGTAAGACAAAGAAATGGATTTCACTCAAGCAATGCTTATAAATTATCAGTTCACCTTCTCCCTTCCCTCCGTTCCCACTGGAGACCCACAGCAGGTTTTCAGCATTTTGCCTTTTTGACAGTTTTGATTAGGGATGGATGACTGCCCTGCCTGTGCGCTAAAGATAGGTGTGAACCACTGAAAGGCACGCTGGAGCCACGCAGCAGCCTTCTTACTTCATACGCTAGGCTTAAATGAGCTGCAAAGGAAATGGACCCTCTGTTTAGCAATGCTGATCATTCCTGTCTGCTCCACAGCTCTTTGCAATGCAATTCCTCTTCAAAAAACACAGCACCATTTCACTAACAAGGAGAGAGGGAAACAAAGCAGGAGGGAGATGCAAAAGTCCACGGCAGTAGGAGGGGACTCCAGAAGCCCAGATCCTGCTTCCCCCACACTAGCGTCAAAATTCCTAGGGGAGCCATTGCTCCAATGCAAGAGAATCGCCAGGCTCAGCTAACTGGCCTCCGTCTTCTGGCTCTGTCCTTGACCAAACTGATTATCATTTTCTGCTCCACTGTCATCAGCTACAAAGCACTTGACACTTCGTGGCCCATGCTCTGCTGCGAACACTGAGAAGCAAGGATCTTTTCTGAAGGCCTCAAAGCATTCATCTTAATAAATATCTCCCCCGTAATACAATACAAAACAAACAACTGTTAAGAGGCTTTTTAGGTAAAGACATTAAATTCCAGCATGAACTACGTTCATAAAAATATAATTTCTCCATTGACAAACAAACACATACAGGCAAATGAAGTTTTAGAAAGAAAATAATCTCTACCTTTACTTCTACCTACAGACAGGAAGGTGCACGTCCAGTTTAGAGGAAGAACAAAAGGGGGTGTCCATCATGGAGGAGGCAAAAGAGAAGAGGAGGAGGAAGCATAAAAAATAGAAAATCACATCACTAGCCATACTTACAAAAACAGCAAAAATGAGCATATTTACGTGGCAACCAAACCCCACAAAACACAATGTCAGGGGAAGAAAGGAACACACCACAATTAAAGTACAAAGTAAGTCTTAAACAACTGACAATACAACTAGACACTGTCTGGTTAAGCCCTTTGGCCTTAATTTGATTTTCTACAGAGAAATGCAAACTTCTCATGCAATAGCATGCCAGTGATATGCCTCATTCCACATCAAATTCAAAACAGCAATGGAAACAACAGAGTAGGACAGAAGGAAACAAATCTCATGGTAGTATATTTGCTAAACACTACCAAAGCTAATGTATTTGTATATAATGTTGACAATGCATATTTACACACATATACATTTACATATTTTATATGCATCATATTTTTATAGACAGCAAATATTTATCAGAAGGGAGTATCTGTGAGTTGCTTGGCAAGAAAAGAGAAGCCGCTGTTCCCTGATGCATGATGGATAAATAAGGGTGGCTAAAGATGCCAGAAACCCATAGTTTTCACATTTTTTGCCAGAAAAGGGAGTACAGAAAGGGTTGATGGCAACCACACAGACTAGAATAGGTCATGCAACTCCTCATGAGCCAGCTGGGTTGCAACTTCTAATTTAAATGGCCAAGTGCCTCTGTTTATATAATCCAGTGCCAAATCACAGACTGCTACAAAGATACATTCAGTGTTACTGAGACTTGAGAGTAGCCATAAAGGTTCACTGTCCTGATAACTCCCATGAAAGCCACCACCCTCCTCTGCCGACCGCTTGCCAAATTCATCTGCATCCTCGGCAACGGGGACACGCCAAAAGGACCTTTTTTACTGGATACTCCTTCATCAAGCACGATTGCCGCAGAGCAGTGTGCCCAGTTGAACAACCAGCAGGGATAGGGAAGCACAACCAATAGATCCATAACACAATGCAGGCTGAGCTATTAAAATGCGAACTCTGATACAGGCCTAGATCTCATTTATAGACCAATCAATGGGTTCATGTTCTGAAGCATTTTGCTCTGTGCATATTTGAATATATTAAACTGCAAATACAGGACTTAAGGCCATTATATGCAATTTTCCTCAGGATTCATAATGCGTTAGGACCATGCCACGAGGACTATTAACATACTTTGTTTTATATAATTGTGCTCTTAAAAAAAGAGACTAACATTGAGGTCTACATTTTCTGAGCAGAGGAGGGAGTCACTACAGCTGGCACAAGAAGAAAGAAACGGCAAGATAAAATAGTTGGTGGGCTGCGTGGAAGGAGGGAACATCTCTCTTTCCTGCCAGTGGAATCATTTCACGCTCCCTAGACTTTCCCTCCAAGCCACTGGTAACAGAGGTCCCAGACTGACAAGTAGCCATGGCTCATGGGACACAGAGAGAGGCAAAAATGCAAATGATTTGACTGGCAAAGGCACTCTCTAGGCCTTTCTCTTGCTTTTCTCATGCAAAGCCCAGCTCAGAAAAGAAACATAGACAAAGCTCCTTCATAATCAGTGACTGGAAGAAAGAGAAACTCAAAGGACTTACCTTGTTCACCCATCATCAGGTGTGAGAGGCCTTTAAGAAAGAGAGAGAGAGGAAGTAAGAAAAAAAGAACGAACCAGAAGAAGAAGCAGTAACACACATGCACACTGATTGCAGTCCAATACCTCTCAGCATTGGAGCTCGCATACTTGAGCTAGATTAAGTATGGGTGTAGCATGCAGGGTGCACACATGGGCAAACTCTGCTTTCCACGCAGAGCGGGAAAGCTTCTGTCACAGGCAGAAAAAACCTGCTGTTCATTACAGAACTGTGTTTGAGGCTCATCGTGTCCCTTGGGGAGCGATTCCAGGGGCACGGTGCCCCATGACAGCTAAACACACTCGGAAAGCCCAGGTCTGCAGCAGGGCTCTACAGGGACCACTCATTCCCCCGGAGAGCAATAACCTCTCCCCAGTTGCAGCTGTCAAATTCAAAGCTGCAGTGGTCAGTCAAAGGGAAGCCATGCTCCCACTGTGTCTGCTTCAGATTAGACATCTGAGCTAAATGCATCTACACATACACATGGAGCTATCCTTATTAATGATCATGGTGGCTTCAGTGTGTATTTTTAGGAGCTGATCAACACTCCTCACACATACTAATTAGACACCAGTACTCCAACTTCAGGACCAGATCTGGCAAGGACTAAAAAAGGCACTACTAATCTGTTTTCAACACTGATCCATTTCCTTTCCAGTAAGAGCTGGAGCTGCAACTTCTGAGGGCACTGTGTTGCTTTATGACTCTATAGCTAAAGTCACTCTTTGATTAGATAATGCAAAGCCAAGCCAGAAAGTAGCATAGATTCACTTAGCGGTGAAGCTCTGTACCAGCTCTATGGATGGGCGTTTGCTGGTCACTTTAGCCTGCTCCAGTCTCCACCCAATAACCCTTTCTGGCATAAACCTAACTTTACTTGTCCTAGTTAAATTCCATTCTCAGCCCCAATTTTCAAATGCATTTGCTGTACAACTGTTGTCATAATTAAATTTAAAAATATCCCTTAGATATTATTGTATACCTAGTCATGCCCAATCCATTTAAAATTAACACAGTCATTCGTTAATTTTGTGGCACATGAAATCATAAAACTAACATATACAAAAATCAAGTCCTAGCCACTTGAGCCATGAATGACCCTTTCCTTACTGGGTTCCATGACCCTCTTCTCTTTGGCTTGATTCCTTCTCCATTTCTCCTACCACAGACAGCACTTAGTATGGCAGGGACTTGGTATGCACACACACACACACACATACACACACATACATACACACACACATCTTCAATCAGTTTATTAACCAAACAAGACTGTGACTTTTTTTAATTTCATGGAGAATGAGAGGTCAAACAAATTTACTAGAATGAAAGATTTTTCAATAAGCACCATGCTGAGTTTGAATTTGCTTATTTATATCTTTTTTATATTTTTCCTTTGCGTCTGGTGGAGAAATCTAAAATCCGGATCATCCCAAGAAGATGTTCACCCACAGAGAACTCCAAGCCAGATAAGGGGATTAATAATCGTACTGCGTAAGGAATGCAAATATCTTAATGTTCTTGAAGATTCTTGTGGATTTGGAAAATAATCAGAAATACAACAAGAGGTTTGTATTTCACTAAATGGTGAAAAAGAAGAAAGGTGAGAAGTCAGCAAGATGGTGCACAGCTGCTGCCAGCCTAACAGAGAACCGACCTCGGACCTGGAGCAGAGATGGGACTCCCGGGTCCTTGGCCCGTTTGTTCAGCGGGGAATAGAGGCCATGGCCAAAAGGCACGGCCCTGATGAGTGCAGCTGCCAGGGGTGGCAGAGGCCTTCTCCACCTGGGGACAAGGGGCACTGAAGAAAGAGAAACCTCCAGGAAAGGTTGAAAGCAGAAGCTTGCCTTAAACACTCAGAATCACACATCCTGAGGAACCTCTCTCCCTCCACTAGTCTTAGAGGATTTATGAAAGTCCTCAAATGTTGGGAGTGTGAATACCTCACCCTGGAAGGCCAGTGCTGTATGCCGTATCCATCACATGCCTCGGCCAGTCAAACACTTCCCAGACACAGCCCAAAGCCTTTAGCCTGCAGTCCAGGGAGGAGAATACCTCCCAAAGGCACCTAGTGTTTTGGCCCCTGGTTTTGCCTTGATTCAAATGCCTACAAGAGAGAATCTCCCTAAGAAATCTTCTGATTCTTTCTGCTGCCTGTCAAATTTAAAATGCAAGAGTAACTGTGGTATTAAATGTTCACCCTGATCTTCTAGTCCCAACTGGACAAGGGAAGTGAAGATACTAACGTTCCTTTTTTACAAAAGGAAACAAAAAGGGCTTGGACATCCAGCAGGAAAACCATATTATCTCCTGATTTGTCCATCTAAGCAAATCTTTATTTGACAAAGAGAAGACCAACAGAAGTCCAGATTCTTCATGAGATATAATGATAATATAAATAATGAAAAAATATATCAACTTTTCTCATCTGAAAATTTTCCTCCCATGCAATTTAAAGTAGGAGTTAAAATGAATTAATTTATCTCCAACAAAATGTCATTAACAACCAAAATTTTCAACTTTGGAGAGCTAAAATCTGTGACATTTGTAGCATGTGTACCAAAGGCCCCAAATTAGTCACAGCAAACTCAATACTCAAAACGTGAAGAGACATCATTGTCTCACCTTTACATCAGCTTAAAGATATGACAAGGAATTAAAACAATTTTCAGATCGTAAAAATTAAAGTCACCCCAAGGTGGCATGTGGCAGTTTTTGCTGTTGGACTACAAGGATGTCCAATAATGCTAATGTAAGAGGTATGAGAAGCTTGTAGACCTGAAAACTAGAACCAGATCTTGTGAGAACAGCTGGGACATCTATCACCGTGCTATTTGGGTGTCAGCCATAAAGGCCAGAAAAGCTGTTAGCAGCTTTAGTAGACTGAATGAAATCATCAGATTTCAAAACACACTGTCCATGTATTCAACCACTGTCTATGCCAATAGCCATCCCATTGCAGGGGAATCCTATATGAAACTCTGGGTTTCCAGCTAAATCCAGGTGAAACATGCACTGCTTCAAATTTCTCTTTTAACCTTAGATTTGTTCAACCAGAAACCCTGACTGAAGCCTCAGGGCTGCAAACCCAGCCAACGTAGAACTGGGAAAAGGTGGACACAAACCTACAAAAGCCACAATGGCCACAGGTGTATTTTGTTTTTATTTTTTAACAGATTTAGTCATTCTTACAGTAATCTATTGGCACAGACAAAGCCTCAGTGCGAGGTTAGAGCTTGTTAAGGTCTACTCGCCTGGCTGAATTCCAATGAGAGCCAAATGAAGACTGACATAAACGGACTCACTTGTAATTACCCCAGCACAGAGATGGGTCCAAATAAAATCTGTATGTGAACACAAACATCCCCAAAGGTATGAAGCTAAGTACAAGCCAAGTACAGCCACTTAAGAAGAGGCCAATCACTCCAATGGCTACCCTACACAAATGGTGTGTAGCAAGTGCTCTGGAAAACATTTAGGAAATCCTCAGAATAAATAGCTTATCTGTCTGCAGATAAACTTAAATCTCAAACCCAGGGAGCTGGTGACTCACTGTTCCTCAATTTACAACGTGAGCAACAGTGAAGACAAGAAGTTGGCTTCACAGGAAGGCTCACCACAGGTTTTTCAAAAAATGATAAGCATCTGACTGTGCTCAGCCTCCAGAGCCCCAACTTCTTTATATCAGTAATGTGAAGAAGAAATGGCCTGCTTCTTCAGAACATTTGTATGTTATTAAAATAATATGTCCACCGCTGAGAACAGACAGACTTATAAACTCTGCTCTCTGACCATGATCTATGCCTGCTGCAACTGCCTATTCCTATTTAGGTTTGGGAGTTTTGTGAATGTTTCTTGAGCTTACTACAAAATCAATATTATTTATTTAAAGGTTAACATTATCTCCCTTGATCTCAAACTAACATTCCCAAGAATTACATTTAAAAGAAAAATTGTGAGCCATCTGCTTTCCATATCCAAACAGTAAAAATAAGTGGCTGTAATTGTACAAAGCACCAAGGGCCAACGCTTGATTCTTATGAAGCCAGAAGGACGTGTTTAAAAGTAGCTTCAGAGTACTATGATATGAAAGAGCAATGTAATTAAATAGCAGTCCTCATGCTTAAGGACTTATTAGGGACCCTTTGCAGCGTGGAGGAGGCAATGAAGGAAACCTTGGAGGCAGTCTGAATACTGCCCTCCACCCCCAGCACCGTGTTTGGGTACGTACTACTTAAAACATGGAAAATTAAAGCCACTAAAAGGGTATGGGAGAATCTAAAACACAACTGACAGTGACAACTGACTGAGGCAAAAAAGAAAGGTGGAGTCCTTCAGATCTAGTTAATTATAGCGTGTCCTGCCTTACTGGGCCCATGCTCTGGGGGTGCATACAGCTGTGCGCGTACTGTCGAATTGCTCTGGTAAGGCGCGTGGCCTCGATACGTCCCTTTTAATGTTGCTGCCATATGATTAGCCCAACAGCACTTAATGCATGAGCAGGGACCTCGCCAGGCAGCAGCAGATCAGCTCTCCCTGAGGGCAGGCTTGCCAACAGAGGATCCCTTCCTGGGCACCAGGCACCATGACCCATTGAAGCCAAAACGATGCCAGCAGCAATGCGTGTCTGAGGCAGGGCCCCACTGGTTCAGGATATACATGCAAATCCTTCACAGTGGAGCTGTAGAAAGAAATCATGCAAACCAGGGATTCTTTCAAAAATAAAATGGCATCTACCATTGCACTCTGGTAAGTGGTGGGGTCTTTTGCTTACACCTCCTTTCCTAAAATCCTAGAACTAGTGCTTCCCTAAGAAACTGGCTTTTTTCCCCCTTTCAACCTCCTACTCCAGCTTCATCAGCAGTTCCCTTTTCTAATTAGGGAGGAGAGGTGACAAGCTCCTTTTCTCTCCAAGTGGTCCTTCCCCAAAGAGGCATCTTGAGATTTGCCCAAATTCAAAGAGCAAGGAAGCCTGTGATTAGCATGTGGTTTCC